ATTTACAGTAAATTTATCGTTCTATTTACATGTCATAACAATTATAACTACACGTTATGCTGCGTCCGTTTGTTTTTTCTGTGCAGTTCAACCTGATTTACTTAAATTTACGCTGCGAGACAGTATAATATTTAGAATTCTGCCTGAATTTTTGAAATTCAGAAAAACACAGGTAAACTTCCATTGCATTTAAACGATATTCTCCACCAAACTGGACAAAATACATTTCGAAAAATGGAATAAAAGAATTTTCGATTTTTTGAAAATCATAAAGTATAATGACCCTTTAATCTGAAACAATGACAATTAACTGTATTAATACCCCCTTTTAACCATACCAGTCAAGCCCTGACGTATTCTATTAGAGATTAAAACAAAGGTATATCCACTATACAAGTTGAACTAGTGAATTATGAATCTACCATACAATATCAAATTTGCTATCACAACTGCAGTAATGTTGTTAAGAAATTAGGTATACAGGGTGTCTGTTTTATCTCAATACAGTGAAATAACTTTTAAGGAAGTGATGTTGGGAAAAAAATGTTTTAACAATAGTTGTTTGGTATGGAAGGGGACGTTATGTGGTGTAAATATTTTTTTTGTACCTGGTATGATGGGGGAGATTTCAAAGTCAGTTTAATTTTTTTAAATGGAATGCTATATTTTTTTATACATAATATGATAGTGTATGTTAAGACAAGACACACTGTATGTTTAATTCATCAAAAATATAACTTTAAATATATTTGTAAATAATATGCATTGGCAAAAACACTCAGATATGGGTTGTACTTATTTTCTCTTTATATTAACTAGAAATAATTCAATTAAATTCAACAAACACATATCTGTGACCTGTCTATATTAATGTATATCTCTCGAAAAAAAGGACAAATCAGAAATTGTTTCACGTTTATAAAAATTTAATTTTGATACTTTCCACAAGAATAAACTTTTTTTTAATGAATCAGGTTTGTGTTTTAAAAGTTCATAAAACTGTATACAATTTATGTCAAAGTTGCATTTGGTATAAATACACGCTTTCAATATTTCGATTTTTAATTGAGTTTCTTCACTGATACACATATTGTTCACTTGTTCAGTGTGGGCATTAGATCCAGGGAGACATAAGCAGCTAGGACCACTGCAATGATAGAATAAGCAATTATGTGCTTCCATGTGCCTCAAATCAATTATTATTCTTGTATTATGCATTATATTATTATATACCATGTAATATAATTTATTATATATCAA